GTTCGGGTCGGACGCGCGCCTCCAAGGAGGACGTATAGTACTAGTATGTCTTTGTGCGTCCCCTATATCTCCCCAGTTTTCAAGACCCCCTCCTCTTCTTTCAGAACGCTGGGGCGCCCCCAGAGGTGGAGAACCTGAGCGCCAACGCCGTGATGGTCAACGGCCGCCAGCTGGCCAAGGGACAGACCGAGCGCGTCGCCGAGGGGGGGTCGCTGAGCTTCGTGGCGAAGCCCCAGAACTCCGCGGAAACCCAGTTCCTCTGCTTCACCCTGCGCCGGGCGCGGACCGCCAGGGCCCTGCGCTGAGGCCCGGGAGGGCTCTTCGGCTCACAAGGCCTTCCAGCTGGGGTCCGAGCACATGGGGTCGGAGGATCGCGCCGCATCGCCGATCCATCGGCGACGCGGCTCGAGGTGGATCTCGATGTTCTCCATGCCCACGTCGCCGATGCATCGCTGGTGCATCGCCTGTGCATCGCCGGTGCATCGCCGATGCATTGCCGCTGCATCGCCGATGCATCGCTGGTGCACCGCGGGTGCATCGCCGGTGCATCGCCGGCGCACCGCGGGTGCATTGGCGGTGCATCGTTCGCGGGTGCATCGGTGGTGCATCGCCAGTGCTTCGGCGACGCATCGGCGGTGCATCGCCGGTACAGCGGCGGTGTGCTTTGCCGGCGGTGCAGCGACGGTGCGCATCGGCGGTGCGGAGCGCGAGGCTCTGGCCCCGCTCCGACCTCCAGCTCCCTTCGCTGGGAGGCCTCTGATTAGTTAATGCTTCGGCGGAGGCAAGAGGGGCGGACGGCCCAGGGGCCCAGGGGTTAAGTCGGGCGTGTCCCTCGACAGATACAAAGAAAGGAACGTTCAGATAATTGTGTCAGGACGACTTTTCGTGTATGTTTGGCTATTTGTTGAGCATTTGTTTGACTATTTTGCATCTTTCTCCCAACATCCGCCTGTAGGAGGGCATGCCCGACCTGAGCCCGGGGGCGGTCGGCGCGCGTGGTCGCCAGGGAGCCTCGCTGGAGGCGCGGGCGGCGGGAGCCCCTGGATATATATATATATATATATATATATATATATATACAGTCGGGCCGAGGTATAATATAAGATATCGAGGTCGGTTTGGGGAGGGGTGCCCTCATGTTTTTCGTGCTTGTTGGACGTTCTGGTGGTTCCGGTGGCCGTGTCTTGGGGTGACATCTCGAGGCACCTCGCAGCGGGGCGCAGATGGGACGCCTGGGGCGTGTCTGTGCTGCCATTCATGTTGCGAGGTCCGACTGCATGTGAATTCATGCAGGCACCTGGGGCACCTTCCTGCGGGTTGTGTCGTCCAGGTTCAGTCCGGGCGAAAAAATGCGTCCGACGTTCCTGTGCCTTCTGGGGAGGGTTGCCCCTGGTCGGAAACCGGCACATAAACACATTACCAGTGGCGGCGGCGAAGGCGGCCCTGGCGACGCGCTGCAGCCAATCCGCACAGTAGGGATGGACAGCCTTCCCAAGGGTACCCTTGCAGCCTTGCCTCCTCGGTCCATCCTTGGCCACTTTCATTGGCCGCGCCCCGTTCGAAACAACTTCGGCATGGGCGTCCAAGGCCCTTGCGTCCTTCTCGCGCATCCTTCCGATACGGGCCGGCCGTATCCCCTGCGAGCGGGCAGCGTGTCGTTCCGCTCCGCGGGAAGGGAGGCCCGGGAAAGAGCTCGGCGCTGTGACGCCCGGGGGCCGCGAGGCGTGGACACGGCGTGTCGCGTCGGAGCGTGAGTTTCGGGGGCGGCCTCACCGACCCCCCTGTAGCAAACCATCCCCTTCCGTGGCGTCCCGCCTGGCTTCGCCCCAGGACGACTGTGTGCGGCCGGAGGGCAGCTCGAAAGGCGAGGATGGCGCCACGGAAGGGGATGGTTTGCGCCCGACAGTTCGTGTGCGGAGCGACACGCGGACCCCGAAGTTCCCGACGGTAAGTGCGTTGGGCCGATGCGCTGCTAGCCCGCTCTTGCCTCTGCGAGCCGCGCCGGCGTCGAGAATGTGGGCCCGCGCGCGTGCAGTGTTTGCCTTTCGTCGGGCACGTCCCTCGACGGGCGGAAAATTTCCAAAATGGTCCAAAAATAAGCCGGGGACGATTGTTGGACCATGTGTTTGGCTATTTTAGAGCGTTTTTCCGCCTCTTGTCACATTCTCTTCCGAAGTCCGCCTGTAGGAGGGCATGCCCGACCTGATGCTTGCCCCCTCCGGCCGCGCGCCCCCGCTGCAGCTGCCGGGCTGTTGTTGCCCGCCAGAGCGGGCCAGCGGCTCGCCTGGCCGCGCCCCGTGCGATGCTAATGACCCACCGTGCCTTTCGTGTAGATCCCTCGGGCGGCGCCGCCGCCGCGGGGGCCGTGGAAGCCTCCCCGTGCAGATGCGCGGGTCGGAAACGGTGCCTCTCGAGGGCGGGGAGCGTTCGGTAGCAAGTCATGGGAGCCTGGTGAGCCCGCGTCGTTGCGCCGATTGGCGTCGACTGGCGCCTGGGAGTCGATGAGAGACGGCGCCGATCTGCAGCGTCGGCTGGCGCCGATTTGGCGTCGATCTAGCGCCGATTGGCGTCGATCTAGCGTCGATGTAGCGTCGACTCGCAAGAACCGAGCAGATGGTATGGGATGCTCCCCTGAGTTGCCACCGAAGGGTGCGGGCTCCCCTCGCCTCTTGACGACGCCACACGTGCACCAGACCAGCTCGGCCGCGCGCGGCCGCGCGCGCCCGCACGCGCGGCCGCGTGCAGCGAACTCCTGGTTTTGGTGCACGGTGTGCGCGGCCCCAGGCATGCGGTGTTCTCCCAGGATATCTCAGACGACTTGGGCCTCCAGGCCCAAAGCCGCCCGGTGGCGGACCGTGCGGTAAGGTCCTTTGGGATTTCGAGGTCACCGCACGGTCTGCCATCGCACGGTTTCGGGACCCCGAAGATCTCCAATGTCTTGACCAGTTCCATGCTCGATGCTCGATCCTCCCTCCTCCCCCTCCTCCCCCCTCCGACGTCGTGCTTTTGTTCGGCAGGGGGCTCCTGGATGTCCGTACCCCCTGACTGGGACACGCCTTTCCTCCCGAGCCGTCTGTTTTGACGACCCCAGGGGTCCGATGCGGGTCTTCATGGGCCCAGAAGTTGCGAGGGCTGGCTATCCCGACTTCTTCCACGACCCCGTTGAGGAGGAGGAGGAGGAGGAGGAGGAGGAGGAGGAGGGGGAGGAGGAGGAGGAGGGGGAGGAGGAGGAGGAGGAGGAGGAGGAGGAGGAGGAGGAGTAGAAATAGGGGAGGAGGAGGAGGAGGAGGAGGAGGAGGAGGAGGGAGGAGGAGGGGGAGGAGGAGGAGGAGGGGGAGGAGGAGGAGGAGGAGGAGGAGGAGGAGACTGTCCCCACTGCAGGTTCGCGCCACGTGCACGCGGCGGCGACGGCGGCGCGGGCGTGCGAGGCTGAAGACTGCCAGCGCTCTGCACCAGGCCAGCCTTTGTAAGGATTTCCGCTGTCGGATGGCGGAGATCGCCAAGCATTGAGCGATTTACGCGGTGTCAGAAGCCAGTCGGGGGACGTCGACCGACCACCTCGCCGGTCCTGTCTGGGCCGACCTTTCGACCAGGATCGATGCATACGCTCTCCTGGTTTGGCCAGGGGCGCGCGTGCAGCAGTCCTGGGCTCAGCATGGGCCTGGCAAGGATTGGTGTAGGTGCATCGCTAGCGCCTCCCGATCCGCCTTCTCCTTTTTCCCCTCTCGTCCTCTTGCTCGTGCTGCTGACCATCATTATCATCATCATCAGCATCATCAGCATCAGCGTCAGCATCAGCATCATCATCATCATCATCATCATCATCACCATCATCATCATCATCATCATCATCATCATCATCATCATCAACACTATCACCATCATCAGCATCATCATCATCATCACCACCATCACCATCATCATCATAACCATCATCATCGTCATCATCATCATTACCATGACCATCATCATCATCATCGTCATCATCAACACGATCATCATCACCAGCATAATCACCATCACCATCATCATCACCATAGTCACCATTACCATCATCATCATAGTCATCATCATGATACTCATCATCACCATCAGCATCATCACCATCATCATCAATATCATCATCATCCGCATCATCATCACCACCATCATCGTCATCATCGTTATCTTCGTCATCATCACCAGTACCAGTGTCGTCACCATGACCATCATCATCATCATCATCATCACCATCATCATTTCATTATCATCACCATCAACATTATCATCGACAACATGATCACCGTCATATTCATTTTTATCATCATCATCATCACCATCGTCGTCGTCATCATCATCATCTCCGTCATCACCGTCATCACCGTCATCAGAACCATCATCATCGCCGTCACCGTCACCATCACCATCCGCATCAGCAGAGCCGTACGCGCAGTGGCGGCTGGCGCTGGAGCGGGCCCTGGCAGCCGCCACTGCCGACGTCACTCCAGTCTGCCTGGGCACTCGTCCGCCTGACGGCACCGTGAGCCTGGCGGTGCATTAGCACTGCTGGCAGAGGGCGGGTGATGATATGAGATACGTGATTCACATGACTTGTCTTGCTTGTCCAAGTGCTGCTCCTGCTGCTGCTCATCATCATCATCATCATCATCATCATCATCATTATTATCATCATCATCAGGTCCTCAGCCACATCCAGCAGTTCTTCATGCCCACGCCTGCCGTCTTTAAAACAAGCAGTGAAAGTGTACAGCTGCTGACAGCCGCGCCGCGATTTGCGATTACAAGTCAGATGCTGGAAAGTGCAGAGCTCATAGGTCTTCCTCAACTCCGTCGTCTCGAGGTCGAAGGTCGTGCTGCAATGTTTCGTTGTGCCCAGAAGTCTGCCATGTATCATCACTTTGTCGAAAGGCTTGAGGATATCCGTGACGACCCCCAGCACCGCGTGGCATTCGAACATCACCCCATGTTTAGGCATTCTATCTTACATCAACTCTATAGCAATTATAATCATATTTGTAGCTAGCTCAATTTTCATCGTCGCATACCTGATGTAGCCAGGCTTGACATTCAAAGGCTCATTTCTTGCTTCTTGCGTGCGTCTTTCCCTGCCCCCTCGCTCGTGCCTCCTCTCTTTCGTCGTCTTCTCCACCTGCTTCCTGATGTTAACATGCATGACGCTGATGTGTGTGCAATTCGGTTAGGCGTGATAAGTCAGCATCCCCCGGCGTTTGTAACATGTGCTGTGCTCAGAAGTTTGTGTAACGCTTGGTGTACATCCCGCAGGTTTCGGCAGGGATGTCAGGCGTGCAGGGCTGGATGTAATGCAGTTGGCGGAGATGACCTTCGCCACTACATGATCTGTCCCATTTTAGCCACCGCTGCCTCCGAACATTTGCGTTCTTTGCCTCTGTGTTGGTCCGACCTCTCGGCTGAATCTCGTATTGTTCTCTCTCGCGCGCCCGTGTCGTCCACTGAATGTCTCCTCTCCATTGCCATCTTTCACGATCTCACGCTCGCTGCTTTCAATCAAATTAGAGCTGCCGCTACCGTCTCGGCGACTGCGGCTCGGCGTGCCGTTGATGCCAGAGCCCGTCTGCTCGCCAAGCGCTCCACGGCGCTGCGTGCCCTGCTGGCCAGAAGCAACGCGGCCCGAAGCTGAGGGGATCATCATCATCACCATCATCAGAAACACTGGCTTCATCATCGTCATCGTCGTCATCATCGTCATCGTCATCACCATTATCATCGCCATCAACGTCACCACATACGCCAAGCCCGCGCGTCGCAAACGCGGACCGTGACAATGGCGATGCTGATTACGATGATACTGTCGTTGTTGGTCACGAGGACGATGATGATGATGATGACGGAGGAGGGTGCTAACGAGGTTAGAGGAAAGCGAAGCTGATGACGATGACGATGATGATGCTGCTGATGATGATGGTGATGTTGATGATGATGATTATGATGATGATGAGGATGATGAGGATGATGATGATGATGATGAGGATGATGATGATGACGACGACGATGCCGATGTGAATGACGATAAGGGTTGTCGGCGATGCCGATAGTGACAATGATGCTACTGATGATGCTGATGATGATGATGATTGTGATGATAACGACAATGATGATGGTGATGTTGACGACGACGATGACGAACACGACGACGATGACGATGAGGATGATGACGATGACGATGATGATGATGACGATTGTGGTTCTGATTACGCTGTTTGTTATGCTGATGATGCTGATGCTGCAGATGATGATGATGATGATCATGATGATGGTGGTGGTGGTGGTGTTGGTGGTGAAGGTGGTGATGATGGCGACGATTATGATGCTGCGGATGATGATGGTGACTCTATATGATGGTGGTGATGAGGATGATGAGTAGGAGGATGATGCTGCTGTTGATGATGTCGACTATGATGATGTTGATCATGTTGACGATTCGGATGATGGTGTGGATGGTGCTTATGATGAGAATGCCGATGATGCTGATGATGAGGATGTTGATGATGACGATGATGATGACGATGACGATGATGCTGATGATGATGATGTTGATGATGATGATGCTGTTGCTTATGATAATGTTGATTATGATGACGATGCTGTTTATGACGACGGCAATGGCGTTGATGATGATGATGATGATGATGATGGTGATTCTGATGGTGATGATTATGATGACGTCATGACGAGGATGACGAGGATGGTGATGCTGATGATGATCATGCTGATGATGATGATGTCGATGACAACGACGTCGACCTCCAATGACGAATGACGACGACGACGAACGACGACTGATGACGACGATGACGACGAACGACGGCGACGAGGATGATGATTCTGATGATGCTGATGCTTCTGATGACGATACTGATGATGATGACGACGAGGATGATGATGCTGATGCAGATGCTGATGCTGATGATGATGCTGATGATGATTATGATGATGATGACGGCCCAGATGATGATGATGCTGATGCTGATGCTGATGATGATGATGCTGATCATGATGATGATAATGATGATGCTGGTGTGGATGAGGATGGCGATGCTCATGATGATGATGATGATGCTGCGGATGACGATGCTGCTGATGATGATGATGATGTTGATGCTGATGATGATGATGCTGATGATGGAGATGATGATGATGATGATGATGATGTTGTGGTTGTTGTTTTTTTTATGGTTGATGTGGGTGATGACGGTGATGATGATGAGGAGGAGGAGGAGCAGGAGGAGGAGGAGGAGTAGGATCTTGATGAGGAGGAGGCGTCGGAGGAGGAGGCTCAGTGGGCCCCCTTCGGCCCGTGAGGCGAAGATCGCGGCGGCCTCGTGAGCCGCGGCCTCGCTTCCCCCGCTCCCCTTCGGGGGGAAGCCGGCCCCGAGGGCGCGGCCACCGCCCC